AACACCACCACCACAGCCACCGCGATCACTACCTCCGCCATTGCCACCATCTCCTTCTTCTTTTTAAACAGTCTTTTGTAGCCCAGGCTGGCCTTGAAGTTACTATGCAGCCAAGGATGACCGTGAATTACAGAGTCACTTGTCCTTACATCTAGAGCACCATGTTGGAGTTTATGCTGTACTTTGGTAGTGCCTTCCTGGTGTGGTTTTAGTGGCTTGTACCTATAATTCTGTATTTGGGAAGCTAAGGCAGGAGGATCAAGGTTATCACTGACTACATAGAAAATTCAAACCAGTCCCAGCTATCTGAGCTTTTGTCTTAAAAACAAAGCAAAGCAAAAGGGCTAGAGAGATGGCTCAGTGGTTAGAAGAGCCTGCTGGCCTTCTAGAGGACCTACTCAGCACCCATGTAGGGCAATTCCAGCTCCAGGGGATTTTATGCCTTCCTCTGGCCTTTGTGGCACCTGCAGACTTTCACACATACAATATATAAATTAAAAACATAATAATAAAAAGTCTTACAATGATTTAAAAAACCCACATCAAAACCAAATTATATTTGAAAATGTTAATATGAACCTAATACTTTGCTAATTTAAAAATTCAAAAGTTTTTAAAAGAAGAAAAAAAAATTCCTAGAATACATGTTATGTAAGTATTTACTTTTGTCCAACTAAATAAGCTCTGGGGCTTCGGAGATGGCTCAGTTGGTAAAGGCACGTGTGAAGCCTGATGCCCTGATTTCTATCCTTGAAGCCCCTGGATGAAAGAGAAAACTGACTCCAGAAAGTCTTCTAAGCTTCCACACACATGCACATGTGAATACAAACAAATGTAATAAAACTATTTATTAGAAGTTTTACCTTCTCGAAGTCCCAAGTTGATTAATTTTTAAAATATTTATCATATATAAACTATTGTGGTGTATGATGCATCAAACTGAGCACCATCATTAGGGACATCATTAGGACACTGGCTATCACAAGGTGCTTCATCTGATGTCCCTAGGACATGTCAGTGAATGCTGAGATCATTTCCTTCATGTCTGGTTATATCTGGAAGCCACGGGACAATTAAACTGGGTTCCTCCAGGCCATAGGTCAGGATCAAATGATAAAGAAAAGGGTGTTGTTGTTCCATATTTTGTACTCCTTGTTGATCATGTTCTTCCACTGAGTAGTCAAATGCTGCTTCCTAGTCAGCCGAGGTGGCAGGTGAGCCCCAGCATGGGTGTGGGAGAAATCCTGGAGCTATATGTTGTGGGAGAGGTGAGGAGGCTGCCTACTTGGATTGAGTGGCTTAAATAACAGGAAGTTATCTTACAGTCTGGTGACAGGATGTCAAAGAGCAAGGTACCAGCCTGTCTGGGGCATTCTCTGGCTTTCAGATAGTCATTTACTTGCTGTCTTCTTACATGGCAGAGAGGAAGAGAGCAGGTCTCTGCTGTCTCTATCAAGGTATGGATCCTAATCTGAGAGCCCAGCTGTTAGGATCCGTTTTAAACCCACTTAGCTCCCCAAAGCCCCATGTTCAAAGACCACCATCATACTGAGGGTTAATGCTTTAGCATATACATTTTAGGGAAGGGTAAAGTTCAGTCCACAGCACATGCATTACCTCGCCTCTCCATGACAAAGGTTCAAGTTAGGGTAAAGAAGCTTACAAAGATAAATGTGGGGCCAAGAGAGATGGCTCAGCAGTTAAAAGCGCTGGCTGTTCTTCCAGAGGACCTGGGTTCATTCCCCAGCACCTACCTGGCAGCTCACAGCTGTCTGTAATTCCAGTTCCAAGGGATCCATCACCCTCGTACAGGCAAAATAAAACAAACAAAAACCCCCAAATGCACAAAAACTTAAAAATAAATTGTTATATATATATATATATATATATATATATATATATATATATATATAT